CATGTGACATACATAGCAGTTCAATGAACTGCTGAAATCTCAAAATATTCCTGGGTGGGCAGAAAGCAGCTAGAGATCTAAGACAGTCTTCCTGCCTCAGTTTGTCTCTTTGACTGCTGCTGCTCCTTGCTCCATGTCACACCCTGGGGCAGTTAATTCAGACTGAATCTTGCTAAGCATTTACAACTGTAGGATACAGCTTACCTAGATCCTGGTCTGTACAATAGGAACACTAATTCCCTGGCTTCTCACCTCTCTGGTTCATAGTAAAGATTAAATTGCTAAGTTCTTTTAAAAAGGAAGAAGCACTTTTCAAATTAAAAGACTTATTTTTTTAGACCAAAAGACTCTGTTGTACTTGCCTGTAGTTGATTTTCCTCCCAGATTTGAGAGGTAGATGGGGAGTATGAGTGATGAGTGTGAACCCAGCCTGTTGCAGCTTCTCCCTGCTCATCATTGCCACATGCAGAATGATCTCTAGGTCTCATTCATTCCATTCAGTGAGCGACATGCCATGGGGGACACATCAACAACTGGGACTTATCCTACTATTAAGGGACACAGATCATGGAACCCAGTGTAAGAAATGCCATGGGGCTGGCAGGTGATAGGGTGGCTAAGGCACCAGACTTCGACATGGTCAGTTGTGGTTCAAGTCCTGGACCTGGTGGCTTGCTTTCTCACTTTTCCTTTCTCTCTCTCTGGTCAAATTAAAAAAATAATAATAAATAAAATTAAATAATTCCTAAAAAAACAACAACAACAAAAAAAAATAGAAGTGCCATAAGGCAGGCTTAGGCACAGTGCTAGGAGAACAGAGGTTGGAACAGTTCTGCTTTGTAAGAGGCATATCACAAGGAGGTGGCTTGTGAGCCGGGAGTGTTCAGGGCCCTGGTAAATAAGCTGCCTCCTCTCTCCAGCACCATTCATTATGTAATTACTGAGCAATTATTTGGTGCCAGGCACTGTGCAAAAGAACCAAAATTGGATTTTCATTGAAGACATGGTCATCATCATTGTTTTGTTTTTTAAACATCTGAGGAGTCCTTTATGTGCCAGGAATGTAGAAAGCAGGTAGGAGAGTTACTGCTTTGGAGTTGCTCTTTGTCTCTTGGATGGGATCAACAGTAAATGGCCTATTTAGGCAAACCTAGGTGCTTAGGGCACAGAGGAACACCCATTTCTTCCTTGGTCTGGGGAGACATCTAAAGGAGGTGATGTCTGAGGTAAACCTGAGTGACTAGTAGAAATTTGCGAGATGGTAGAAGGAAAAACAAGAGGTGTTTGGGGGTGGGTGGGTATTAAAGCAGAGGGGGACCAGCAGGTGGCATCGAGCTTAAGGCAGATGGTGTAATGGTTAAGTCACTGGACTCCCACATGTATGACCATGGTTTGAGTCCCAGACCCAGCTTGAACTTCATGCCAGGCACATGTGCGTGCGTGCCTAAGAATCCTGGGAGGAGAATGGAGGAGAAGGGAATGTGATGTGGCCATCATGCCTGGACAGGGGATGACTTCTCACTTTTCATCTCTGTCTCTCTCCAGTGAATGCACATGCCCTGTAGCAAACTGGAAAAAAAAAAAGGTGAGGGGTGGAGCAGGTATGCACAGAGGCACAAAGAGGGCAGTTGAGCATGTTTGGGCAGCTGTCAACATGGCTGGAGAGGAGGGGCAGAAAAAATAGGAAAATAGTATAGTCTACAGTTGTAAGAAAGGAAACAGCAAGAGGCTTTTGCTTTCAGCCCAGCTGGCTCTCCATGGCCTTTGGGGTCAGACTCAGGAGTGTGCACAGTTCCCAGAGCTAATGCTGTTTGAAAGAGGTTTCTGTGCTGCCCACATCAGGCCCCTCCCCAGAGTTCAGCCATGGCCCAGAGCAGTTCTATTAGGTGCCTACAGGCATGCCCACCACTGGCCTCCCCACCGCTCTCTTGCCACCAAGATTGTGCAGCCACTCTAATTAGTTATTGATCTGGCATTTTCTTGTGACTGTTCTTCTCACTTCTGTATTTAGTCAATTCTCAAGTTAATGAAGCCAAATTCTGTATCTCTCTAACCCCCATCACTTCTGCTGCTATGAATGGCTCCAAACAAAGACCACTGGAAATGAGTCGCATGCCTCCAGTTAACAGAGATGGTGGGGGAACAGAAAGGGGGTCGTTGTCCCTGGAATAGTCCACAGAGAATGCGTGTTGGCTTTGTCAGATCAGGTCCCCCCGGGGCCCAGAGTCCTCCCATGATGCTCTGAGGGCAGCTGTGGCATGGAGGTAATGTAGATCTAAGGGCTTCTTCCTCCCTCATACTCCTATGTCTATGGGGTGGTCCCGTAGCATAGCAGATGGTAATCTGGGCAAAACTACTCCTTCCTTTCTAGATAATTTTGATTCAGTTAATCCTTCTCAGCTGCCATTTACTTAAAATAGGTAATTATTTTTAAAAAGGAATTATTTAGTTTTGATGATGATGATTATTATTATTTGAGCAGAGAAAGACAGAGAAGCAAAGTGAAACAGTAGGTCACCAGGTCCCAGACTTGAACTGTGGTCAGCAGTGTGGGAGTCTAGCACCTCCACCACCATACCACCTGCCAGCCCCAAAATAGGTCATTTTAACATATCTTCTCAGGCATTGTGAGGATCCAGTGGATTACTCTAAAACTTGTTTAAAAACAGTAAAATAGTTCAAGAAAGAACAGTGGATTTGCTTTTATTCCCAGAAGAAATTGGGATTCAGAACAATCTAGAATAGGGTTTCAGATGGAGAAAATTGCTGTTCTGATCCCCTGTCCATGACTGTATTAGGTGAAGCTGAACATTAAAGTAAGGGATTGAGGGAACCAGCAGTTAGCGTAATGGCTATGTTGCTGGACTCCCACGTAGTCGACCGCGGTTCGCGTCCCAGACCCGGTGACTTAAAACTCACACCGGGCGCATGTGCATGCGTGCCCAAGATCCCGAGAGGAGAATGGCATGACCATACCCCCTGGGGGGTGATTTCCCCGCTTTCTGTCTCTTTGTCTCTGTCTGGCGAGCGCATGAGCCCTATAGCAAAAATCTCTCAAAAAAAAGGGGGGGGGGATTGATATCTAGAATATGTAAAGAACTCTTATAACTCTACAATGCAATTAAGAAGTGGGCAAAGGACTTGAATAGACATTTTGCCAAAGAAGACATACAAATAGCCAATTAGCATGTGAAAAGATGCTTAATATTAATAATCATTAGAAAAACGTAAATCAAAACTACAAGATACATGTTGCCAGCAGGTGGCAAGGAGGTTAAGATGACTGGTTTCCATATGGCTGGCTGCACCATTTGAGTCCCAGACCCAGCAGTTTGAAAAACTTGCCAGGCACATGTGCATGCCCAAAATCTTGAGAGGAGGATGGAGGAGAAGATTGTGTCATGGCCATCCTCACTTGGGGGGGGGGATCCCACCCACCCGCAGTGTGTGTGTGTGTGTGTGTGTGTGTGTGTGTGTGTGTGTGTGTGTGATGGCATATAGCAAAACTGAAAAAAAAAAATGACAAAAATTACACACATACACCAAAAAATCTACAAGATACTATCCCACGCATTAGAGTGGCTATCATTAAGGAAAAAAAGGAAAAAAATAAACAAGTGCTGTCTAGAATGTGGAGAAATTAGAACATTCGTGCATTGTTAGTGAGAATATAAAATGCACAGCTTTTGTGGAAAACTGGTGGTTTCTCAAAAAATTAAACATAGAATTACCCTATGATCCAGCAATTCCGCTTCTGGGTTTGTGCCTAAAAGAATTTAAAGCAGAGATGCTTAAGAGCTATTTGCATACCCACATCCATAGCAGCATTATTCACAACAGCCAAAAAGTAGAAACAGCCCAAATGACCACCGATAGATGAATGAACAAACAAGAGGTGGCACAAACATACAGTGGAATATTATTCAACCTTAAAAAGGAAGGAGATCTTATCACATGTTGTAACATGGATGAACCTGAGGGACATTATGCTCAGTGAAATAAGCCAGTCACGAAAGGAAAGAGACTGTTTAATTTTTCACACACGAGGAACCTGGAATACTCAAATTCATAGACAGAAAGTAGAATGTTGGTTGCCAAGGCCTGGGAGTAGAGGCGGATGGGGAGTTAGTGTTTACTGGGTACAGAGTTTGAGTTGGAGAAGATGAAAAGAGTTCTGGAGATGGATAGTGATGGTGGTTGTACACAGTGGGAAGGTACTTAATACCTTTGAACTGAACCCTTGAAAATGATGATTAAGGGCTAGCGGGTGGTGTGGTGGTTAAGGGCACTAGACTCATGGCCGACTGCAGTTCAAGTCCTGGACCTGGTGGCTTGCTTTCTCTCTCTCTGTGTCTCTCTCACTCTGTCCCTCTCTGGTCAAATTTAAATAAATAAATACATGATAAAGTTAAATAATTCTTTTTTTAAAAAATGGTTATTAAAATAGTAAATACTATATAAATTTTATCACAAATTTTAAAATGGAAAGAAAAAATAATTAAAAAATAACATCAATGACAGCTTTTAAGGGAGATGGAAGCCTCACACTGGAAGCTTATGGGCCAATTAGAAGACTGGAGCGACAGTTCATCCTCATTGGCTTAGGACCTGGGCTTTATAGGATGCAGGGCCTTAGATGCCCTCCAGCCTTTCTGAGTACCAGCTGGTGCAGTTACTACCTCTTCCTCTGAGATGATGCCCAGGTGCCTCATAGATTCCCCCAGAGGGCAGGGCCCATGGGGACAGCCACCACTGACCTTACTCTCCATGGGGCACTTCTGGTCAAGATAGTTGTTTTCCACTCTAGTCCTGCCCCAGTGTCTCATCTGGGTGAATGAATTCTGTATGAATTTGGGGGGGCAGGGAGCACAACAGGTGTCCTGAACCTGTGCTAATAGAGTGATCCACCCGCCCCCGGGCTGGGCACCATGAGAAAATTTCCACAGCTTTCTCAGTCCCCTTTGTGTTCTCAGGAGTGACTTATCCTCTGTTCTCTATAGGTTTTCTTTTCCTCCGCCTGTAGCATTGCCGTGGATGCCACCCTGAGGAAGAAAGCTGAAAAGTTCCAAGCCCACCTGACCAAGAAGTTCCGGTGGGACTTTGCTGCAGAGCCCGAGGACTGTGCCCCAGTGGTGGTGGAGCTTCCTGAGGGCGCTGAGACTGGCTAACTGTGGGTTGCCTCCAGCCATGAGCGGTCCCTTCCACCTGGCTGCAGGCCGGTCCTCTCCTTTCACCCCTGCTTTATCCTGGGACCCTCCAGGGCAGTAATCCTGCCAGGTGCCACAAAGATGGAGCCAGAATTCCCTTCTTCATCCATCATTGCCAGAGAGGCTCTCCCCATCCTGAGGGCACATTTGTGAGTTTCCCATCAGCCTGGCCTTGGTGCTAACCCAACCAGATCTCAAATGGGCTGTTACAGAAGCTCCTAAGAAAGACTTATCTCAACAGTCAGTAGCAACCTCATTTCTTCTGAGGAGAAGAATTGAACCCAAAGTCCAAAAGAACTGATTGCTTATTCCACAAAATGGTTAGAAAACAAGAAGCCTGGGACTCCCTCGGGTTCTGAGATGTCAGTCAGTGACTTTTTTGAACATAAACAGAGGGTAATGGTGCAATGAACCAGAATTTCTGCCTGCCTCTTGTTGATGGGAATACGTCACAGAAAATGGGCCTATGACCTGTCAGGACCTCCAGATTGAGGAAGGGATAACAAGAAGCTAATTGTTTCAGTCTGACAAGTGGTCAGCTTTAGCTTGTTCCCTCTGAATCTCACTCTGCTGTCCATAGGCCCCAGGGGGGTAATCTCTCGAGATTGGCATGGCCCTTTGCTCCAGGGCCCTTGCTGGTGCTATCACCTTCCATCTGTTCCTTTCTGAGGCCTCAGACCCAGAAGTAGATCTTGGCAGCCCTCGCACGTGTTCCCTTTCCTCAGCAGAGCCACTGTCATTGTTTCTAATGACTTGGAGGTTCAACAACCAAAAGAAGGGTTCTTGCCCTGAGCAGATTTTTGGGGGGCTCCTTTGAAGTTTTGTGTCTTTTCTTCCAACATCTAGAGATGACCCTGTCAGCCTCAGTCTTCCCAGGCCTGCCATGGAGCTGTCAGTCATTGGGGTAGTGACGCTTCTGGTTTCCTGGGAGTCCTGAAGGCATGCCTATCATGCTATGTGGGCAGAGTTGCATTTCTAGACATACACACAAGCCCTGCCACCCTGACCTCAAACTGTTGTACTATGATTGGAGTCCCTGTGCTGCCCCTTTCTAAGGCTGGGGCTCACTCTAGTTTTTTGAATGAGAATCCCTGCTGGTTAAGACTTACAGTTCTTACTTGTTTCCTTGGAGATGTTTTTCCAAGAGCATAATGTACATTAAAGTCTTTGAGTTAAGACTAAATCCCCTCGTGTGAGTCTCTCTTGCAGTTAATCTGCCCAATTCCCAGGACAGCCAGGCCTCTGTCCAGAGGTGCACATCTCCCTACAGAGCACTCGAGAGACCCAACCCACCTTCTGCAGTCTTAAGGGGGCAAGCAGCCAGCGTTGCTGTCTGTTCCTAGAGAGACAGTGAGACGCCAGGCTCACAGAAGGAAGGAAAGAGACCCATGCTTTCATGATGAACTGAGGTTTCACCTTGTATAAATGTATGGTTCTCTTCCCCAAAGCCCACTCACCACAACTACCTGGAGAGCCTGTTAGAGCTGCAGGTGCCATAGGAATGAAATCCTGCCATGCTACAACGTGGATGCCCCTTGAACAATTGCTCAGCAGAAGAAGCCAGACAGACTGCATACTGTATGATTCTGTTCGTAAGGCATGTCCAGAATAGGCAAATCCATAGAGATGGAAGTAGATCAGTGCTTGCCAGAAAACAGGAGAGCTAGAAATGGGGAGTGGCTGCTAATGGGTCTGGGGTTTTTTTGGGGGTGATGAAACATTCTGGAATTAGATGATGGTGATGGTTGTACATACAACCTTATGGGTATACTAAAAACCATAGGAAGTGTATACTTTAATGAATTTTGTGGCTTGTAAATTATGTCAGTAATAATTCCTAAAAGTGTAGATTCCCAGGTCCCATCCTGCAGGGATTCTGGGGCAGTGATTTTGGGTGGGGCCTGAGCTCTGAGGCACATTGAGTGTTGAGTGACAAGACCCAGGAGCAGCAGCATGTGATTACAAGTAGAGTTCCGCTGGCATTATGAGGCCAGCACTTGGAGTAGGCCATGGGACCATGTTCTTCAAGTTTGTTGTACTTCTGTGTCTACAAAAACCCCCGTGTCCCAACACACACACACACTTCAAAAGGGTTAAACAAAAGTTGCTGTTGCTAAGTTCTTTGTTCATTTAATCTTCACAACACTGTGTGCTAAGTACTATTATCCCCATTTCACTGATATGAAAGTAGGCCCAGAAAGCTTAAATCTGCCAGGGTCTCACAGCTAGTAGTTCTGGAAGACAAAAAGCCTGTTCCATGGGTGTCCATTGCCTACTCTGCCACTGGTCATCGTAGTGATCAGCTCCTGTGCTGCTCTTGCCTGCCCGTGGCAGCCTCCCCCTTGCTTTGGCCCCGCTGATAGCCAGCTGTGTGACCTTGTGCTGCTGTTCTCTGGGCCTGGGCCTCACTCTCCTTATGTATAAAATAAGAGAGCTGGCTGGGACTCAGGGTTTCTGATACAGATTCACCAGGCTCCCTCAGGTATTTGAAAGTTGACTTTCATGTTATTTAGTGGGGGATTTTTGTTTGTTTTTGTTTTGTTTTGTTTTGTTTTTCAAAAGAAATCTACATTTATACAGGATAAAATGGCTGGGCTGCTGAACACATGTACACACACACACACACACACACACACACAATAAGTCTCTTGTTTTTGGTTGAAATGACATCAACTTTAGGTCCTCTCATCCCAGCTGACAGTCCTCTATGTGTCTTTGATGAATTAAAAATGTGAAAACAAATTAATTATTACTTACTACTTGCCGTATTTTTGGAAGGCAGAAGCCTTCAGAACAGAACCAGTGGTGGTGCTGATCGCTAAGCTCCCTTCCAGTTCTAACACATCTAACAGTGATGCTATTGGCAGGACCTGGCCTGGTTTTTAAATCCCCTCAAATGCAGGCCTCCTGAGGTCTGCCTCTTATTTGCAAGGCTGATTTATCCTATTAGCAGAATCAGCAGAGGTAGTGACTTTCCAACCCCTTCCCCTGTCCCTGTGACAAGGCTTAGCTGCCCGGTGCTCATTCCATCTAATTTCTCCCGACTCGCGCAGAGGAAGAGATCCCCGCCGTGGATTGCCTCTTTCCATGGGTAATTATTTCCCCAACATCATCCTCTGGTAAATACTATTTAATATTCCCAGGGCACTGTGACACGCTGGTCCCTCCAGCTAATCAGACTTCGGCTTGACCGAGATGCTATCCCCTGCAGAAATGGGAGGTGGAAATGCAGTGTGAATGCTGTGGTCAAGGCCAACCCTGAGTCACTTCCTCCAGAGAGGGACGGAATGGGGGTGCTCACCTGAGCCTCTGTAATCCAGGAGTCTGCGTGGTCCTGCGATTCTGCTGAGGCTGCCTTTCTCTCTAGTGCCCTGCTGACCACGGAGAGCACATCTTCATCTCGGATTCACTATCTATGGCCTGGTCAGACCTTGTTTCCATTAGGCCCATCAGGACCCTTCTATCGCTGGAGTATCTGAGGTCTCCAGTGCTGGCTCATGCTCTCCTAACCCTTGGCTCCTGCTGTGGACTGACTCCCTGCTGAGGTTTGGCATAGGCACCAGGAATCATGTCAGCTACTCTCTGCTGTGGAGGGGCGTGCCCATAGTCCTCCCCTGCTGGCCAGCCCTAATCTCGTGCGTCCTGAGTCTGATGCTCACCTGCATAGCCTTACTGAATTTCTCGGAAAACCTGTGCAGCCTTCTCTGGATCCTGAAGGTCGTCAGGCTGTTAAACTTCTTGGTAGGGGGAAGGTACGAGTAGGGCTTCTCAGTGGAGTTTGTCCAATGTCAGATGACCTATGCAAAAGAAACTCACTAGGTCCCTCTTCCTTTGGTCTCTGCCTTTCTTCTTCCCTCTCCAGATGTCTCCATTTTCCCTGTCACCTCCCCAGAGTTGTACTGGCTTGCGTCTGGACTCCACACTTCTCAGGGGATGCCAGCAGATGGGGTTGCATCTTGAGGAGTGCAAGCTTGCACCAGAGAAGCAGTCAGAGAAAAATGCAAGACCTCCCAAAGAGGCTGGGAGGGCTATCTTGGGGCAGAAGGGGGTCTCTGCACACTTCCTGGGGCAAAGGGGGTCTAGGGAAGAAGTTGCAGGGAGGCCGAGGCAGCTCCATGCCTTCTTAGCCAACCAACATTGAGCATTAGGCACCAGGACCCTGCTGGTGAGCTTCCATCTGAAGGGAGCCAGACAGTAAGTGTACTAGCGGGCTACAGAGTATGTTTATTGTAACAAATCCTCTGGGGAAAAAGACAGTGAGCTAAGGGAAACAGTTCTCGCAGAGTGAGGAGACCTGTTGTTTAAGTGGGAGGCACTTGGGCAAAGATTTGCTGGAGAGAAGTGAGTAAGCCACATGAGCGTCTGGGGGAAGACTATTGCAGGCAGAATGGACAGTGAATGCAAAGGCCCTGGGGCAGAAGTGTGGCCAGTGTGTTGGAGGGACGCCAGGATGTCAGAGTGAAGGGAGCAGATTGAACACAGCAGCAAATAGTGGGAAAGGATATTGGAGAGGCTACAGAGGGACCAGGTTGTCCAGGGCTTGTGGGCTGTTAGGTGAACTTGGCATTTTACTCAGTGAAACAGGGTCTCGTTGGAGGATTTTAAGCAGAAGAGTAGCATGGTCTGATTTCAGTTTTAACAGGACCACAAGCTGCTACTGCAGGGGTCCAGTAAGGAGCTAATGCAACGATCCAGGTGAGAGGTGATGACTCATCGGAGTGGTATGGGGTGCATGCTTCTTTGTATCATGATTTGGATAACAGATGGACTGGATGTTGTGTTTTGTTTTGTTTTGTTTGTTTTTTAATTTACCTCCTTGAGAGAGGGAGGCACCCTCCATGGGGTTCTCAGCTGAGATCCTCCTCTGCCCTGCAGCTAGTCAAGATCACAGGCACACCCCAAGGTGTGTCCACTGTGCTCAGGTTGACCTGGGACACGAACCAGAGCCTTCTCAGGGCCTCCGTCATCATGCCGCATGCCTCTACTCTCAGCACCCTCGCAGCTAAGTGTGGCCATCTTTAAAGGGCCCCTCTGGCCCAGCAGCCCCTAGTTCTCTGAAGTCACAAAATCTGGGTTGTTCGCTCCCATCGCTCCCGCCCCACCATGAGGTTTCTTAACCCTTCATAATCTCACATGGGCAGAGGGGGTGGTGATGAAGTCTGCTGGGTGACCGGTGACAGTGGGGGAGTCAAAATGGCTGCATCGGTGCGGATGCACTTGCTGCCAATGGTCAGTGAGGGCCCCTTGATGTTCGGGAGTTCACATGACTAATGGAGCTGGGTGAAGGCCTCTTTGGTACTGGGGGTTCCTGGTAGAGACTCTCTCAGGCACCCACTCCCACCACGGGTGCTCACCGACTCAGGACTGAGAGGTGCAGTTTGTGCTGCCGGCCTCCCGCTCACTGCCCGCTCCACGTGGGGCCTTTACTTCCCGTCTTCAAGGACAGGACAAGGGTGGGGGGTACGAGGTGCTGTGTTGGGACTAAAACTGTAGAGGGGAAAAATGGAGGACAGATTTGAGGTGCGGAAGGCAGCTGTGGGGCAGGCTTCTGTGGGGTCACGAAACACTGGCTCTTTGACAAAGGCCTATCATTCGTCGTTATACAGACGAGAGACCAAGCTCAGAGACGTGAAAGGACTTCCTCAAAGGCAGAGGCTAGCACGTCCCCGAACCAGAATTCGGGCCCAAGCCTGTCTGAGTCCAGCCCTGCCCCTCACAGCGCAGCACTCCTTAATAAGGGCAGTTACATAACCCGTGACTGTTACCAGCAGACCCAAGCCTGCCAACTTGACAACTGGTAGTGTTGGTCACTTACGAGGGTGGCAAGCAGGGCCCTCTGGGCTCTGGGGTTGTGACAGTTTGATGTTTCAGCCCAGACCCTTTGAATCTGTATCTGGCCTTTGGAAATGCTGGCCTGACCTGGCTCAGGTGAGGTGGCATCTGGGTGGGGGTGGCCTCCAGCTGTGCAGGGAGGCAGCCTGGGACCCAGAAGGAGGCTGTGTCAGCCCGCCTGTGGACTGCAGGGGTCACTAAGGGGCTGCTCAGTCTGGGGTTCACCAAGCAGAGGCCCCTTCTCCCACTCATTTCCGTCCTGTCTGAGGTGCTGCTGAGTTTTGCACAAAGCGTTTGCTTTAGAGAAAGATGCTGCCAGCTATGGGGCCTCTGAGTGCTGAATTAATGACCAGGCATCCTCTGGAGAGCCCTTTGCTTTGGCTACCCCCTCTGTGGATCAATAAGCCAAACACCAGTATTTTTTTGTATTTATTTTTATTCATGAGACAGAGTGCATGTGTCACATTGAAGAAGGGGCACTCTCAATGGGGTCTTGTCATGCCGCCGTCCTCTTCCCCAGCCCTCCAGCTCCTCAGATCTTGGGTGTATGCACAATGCGCAGCCTGTTGCAGGTCAGCTGGAGATCCGAACCCACAGTCAGCTGTGTGGCTTCTAGAATGCAGTTCACCCTGCCTGCACCACTGAGGCTGGGCCCACATGCCACTACTCAAGTATAGCAGCCTGAAGGTAGGGCCCAGGCTGTGGGGACTCAGGGGGTCTCTGCAGTACATTTTGAATGAGGAAGGCCATGCCCTTGTTCATTTCCCTTTTGGAAATTTTTCATGTCCCATTCTTCAGTTGGGGCCTTCATGTGTATTGAAAATATGCATTGATCTTATTGTAAATATCTTAATATTCTAAATATTTCCCCCAGTTGCCACTTACCTTTTAAATTTTAGGAGGTTTTATAATGTGCACTTTACTTTTTAATGTGTCACACATGTCGTGCTTTTTCTTTTTGATTTGCTTTCTCCCCCATGGCTCTAATGCGTAAATTAAAAGTCTATTCCCGAGTCAAGATGAAGTGCGTATTAGCCTATATTTTGTTCTCGTTTTCCCAGTGTTACTCT